AATTATTTTCTAGGCCTTTTGCTCCTTCGCAGTTCTTTATTAGAGATATTTTCATTATTTCTTTCATCATGTGCATGAATTTATTTTATCACAAAGTGAAAATATGTTTAAAAATTCAATATTTTTGTCTCAATTATAGTATTGCAATCAATCACATCACTTTTCAAAACAAGAAATTTATATGCAACATTATGTTCAACATATCCAATAAGCATGCAACAACAAATTTAGAATCAATTTTTCTCTTTTTAGGTTCATGCAAAAGAATTTTAGCAAGGCACCCCCACACTTTAAAATATTTTAAGTTAGGCTTATAACCTTTCCACAATTCATAAGGAGTTTTACCAGTTCTTGTATGAGGAATTCTAGTTTGTAAGTGGCATGCAGATAATATAGCTTCACCCTATAAATTATTACAAGCATTAGAACTAATTAACATGGAATTCATCATTTCCTTCAAAGTTCTATTTTTCCTTTCAGCTACTCCATTTGACTCAGGTGAATACAGTAGGGTTACTTTATGAATAATTCCTTCTTTTTCACAAAAGCATGTAAAGATATATATTCTCCACCTCTATCAGATCTTATTTTGTTGATTTTTCTACTAAGTTGATTTTCAATCTCAGTCTTATAAGCAATAAAAGCATCAAACGCATCATCTTTATTTCTAAGAAAATACAACTTAGTAAATCTGAAAAAATCATCAATAAAAATCACATAATATCTTTTACCGCCTCTAGTCATAGTCTATTTCAAATCATTCAAATCAGTGTGGATCAAAGATAATAATTCAATTTCTCTATTTACTGAAAAACATGACTTTTTAGTAATTTTAGTTTCAGCACATATTTCACATTTATCAAAATTATTTAAGTTTAAATCAAGTATTAAACCAAGAGATTGCATATTCTTTATATATGAGACATTAACATGTCGTAATCTAGCATGCCATAAAAAATAGACTCATTCACATAAGAAGAAGAAGAAGATACATTTTCACTGAAATTATCACAAAGATTAAGCACAAATAAATCATAGTTACATAATCCATTGCCCACAAAAATATTAGTTTTAGTCAATAGGACCTCATTATCTTAAAAAAAAAACCTGTATTCCATCCTTTCCTAATAATCCCATAGAAATCAAATTGATTACGATATCAGTAACATGCAATACATCACTCAATGCCAAAGTTTTACCAGATGTGAGTTTAAGAAGATCTTTTCCTTTTTCTAGAACTTAAGTTGTGCTTGAGTCACCAAAATAAATAATTTCTTCTCCTTCTCAACTTGGGTGTTGACACAAAATCATTTTTGTTTATACAAATGTGCCTCGTAGCATTAGAGTCTATCACCTAGTTTTTCACATTGGTCTCAACATTTTTATCTGAAATGACCGCAATAATTATATCATCCGTTTCAACTAAATTTATTTTTAGCAAAGCAAAATTGTCATTTCTTTCCAATATTCTTTTCCATTGAGGAGTTTTTCATGGAGGTTTAATTTTATTATTAGTATTGGACTTGTAACCATATCTATTTACGTACTTGTATTTTTCTTTACCGTAAGCCTCCGACAGAATGACTTGAACAGTAGGAATCAGGATATCATCAGTATCATCAATAGTTTCAGTACACATTATTTCACAATAATATTAATATAACTTATTATTTAGAAAAATAATAATCCTGAAAATTAGATAAATATTACTACGATGATATATAAATAATAGTGTAGAAAATTAATATTTGAGTCGTACTGGACACTGTCCTAAGATACTATTTAAACAATGTGAGATGTTTCCCCAAGATTAAACAAGCTTTCCCCATTTAAATAGAGGATACATGAATCAAAAATATTAATTAGCATCAGCAAGTTAGCAGTTTAGTAATTAATAAAATAACAAAGCTAAAATAACTACTTAACTTTAAAAAGAAAAGCTAAAGAGAGGGGCAGAACGTGAAAACAAGAAAGAGTAATATTAGCATAGTTTTCTAATATCCAATTTATAAAGAGAAAAATCCATTTTTATAGGCCAAAGAAAAGACTATATGTAAGACAAGTGACAAGGACACTTGACTTCATACATGAAATCATTTTTGACAAGTGTTTATTTTTTTCAAGTGCCAAATTAAAACATAAGAGACATGACGGGTTTAGCCAAATTTATCATTTCTCCAATACACCTCAATTATTTTGGCTTTGTAAATACACTTTAAAATAAATTCATTCGAAATAATTATTTACTTACAGACTCAAGTACGTAAATAGAAATGTCTCTGATACAATAGTTAAAGTGTTGTAGAAAATAAATCAAGAATATGATTCCTTATTAGTTTAGGATTTGTCATTTATGATATTTACTTAATTATATTTAATTAGAATTTGTTAGTTAAGGAGGTTTCTAGTCTTAGTTTAATTTGTTTTGTTAGTATTATAAATGGAATTATCTTATTACGTAATTCAATGTGGAGAGATACATTGAATATAGAGAGATACACTCAATGTGTACCGAATACAAAAAGTTATTGAGTAAAACTTCCTACCTCTTTGTAGAATAATAAATCTTTTCTACATAACCATTGTTGAGTCTTTCACTTGTGCATATATTAATACTTTGAGTAATTTTACTTCCTTCAAATTGGTATCAAAGCTTGTGTGAGATCCAACACATATAACAAAATATGAGAAATCTATATTTACCTACTTATCTCGTTGTTTGAGTTTGATGAAAAAATTAATTTTGTGATTTGACATCAATAGATGAAGAATGCATATTAAAATCATTTTTTCTATTATATAGAACCATGTACTCGATCAGAAAGGTCATTGAATCATATTTGTATCAATCAGAATATAACCTAATCAATTAAATATCTACTTTACTCTCTGAATTAATTTTTTTTTTTACTTTTTGAACGATGGTTGAGAGACAAACCAAAAGACAAGTTAAACATCTTTGAACTGACAATGAGTTAGGATTTTACGACTTAGTGTTCAATAACTTAGAGGGCATAGTGAGACATCATACTTATGTTGGAACATCAGAACAATATGGTATTGCAGAACGTATGAACAGAACATGTGATAGAGCACAAAGTATGCTTTCACAGTTATGTGTTAGCAAGGATTTTTGGGCTGAAGTACTCAATACAACTTGTTATTTGATCAATAGATCTCCATCTCCCTTTGAAGTTTGGTACGGTTCGCCCGCTAATTATTCAAAATTTAAAATATTTGATTGTCCTTATGCTCATGTCAGGAATGAAAAACTTGAATCGAGGACAAAGAAGTTCATATTTCTAGGATATGCAATTGGAGTGAAAGGTTACAATTTGTAGTGAACAAAAGAAAATATTTCAGATTAATTATTAACAAGGATGTTACAACAAAATAACAGTATTAGTGACTACACATAGAGTTAGAAGTTGAATCTCCGCTAGCTTATAAGCCCAATAGTTCAGAAGTGGAGGATGTGCAAGACATTAATCAAGACGATAATGATGATGCACCTATACAACAACAATCATATAACATTGCAATAGGTAGGGAAAAAAAAGAATGATAAACCAACCAAAAAGATTTGCAAACGTGGTTGATGAAAATATTTTTGGATATGCAAATTTTATAGAATTTGCTTTATCAGTTGGAGACACCATTGGCATGCATGGGCCTAATAGCTATAAAGAAGCTGTTTCTAGTTCAAAATCATATCGATGGATTGGTGTTATGGGTGAAAAGATTAAGTTTCTTTAAAAGAATCAAACATGGAAGCTTGGTTCATTGTCAAGGGAACAAAAGGTAGTAAAACATCATTTTATCTGAAATGTTGCATCGAAATGAGTTTTTGATATGAAGAAAGTGTCTACACATGATAATCTAGGAGATATGATAACCAAGATAGTCCGAACCAATAAGTTTAAATATTGCCTAGACTTGATTGGTTTGAGTTGTACTCAGTAAGCCCTTCGGAGGGCTAGGGAGCAAGGTAGAAAGACGTCATTTCAATTGATGAATGGAATTCAAGCCAAGGGAAGATTTGTTAATTATGTCTTGAAGTTTTTCCTTGTTTATTTTAAGAAACTATAATTCCTATTAGTTTAGGAGACCCTTTGTCCTAATAGATTTTGAAAAGGAAAATATTGCCCTTGTAGGATTAGGAAAACCTTTTCCTTATAGGTTTGGGGCTACTTGAGATCTATATATAGGGTATGTAGTTGGGGATTCTAAAGCATGATAAGCTTCTTCTTTTCTTCCATAGTAGAAAACTCTATCTGCTTTTGCTGGAAGGAGTAGGCCTAGCCGAACCTCATTAAATATGTGTGTTATTCTTCTCTTCTATTTTTCTTTGTTTGTAATTGTATGCTAGTTAATCCACGATATTTCCGCAATAATATTGTTATGACACATTAGTGGTTGGATGTAGGCATTTTCTTCACACTAATATTAAGAAATTGAATCTAAACATATTCGTAGTCAATCATGACACATTCCTTTTGAGATACACTCATTTTTTCTAACATTATGCTAGTAATGTAGTTATCCAATAAGGATCAATTCATGATCAAGTGTGGCATCAGAAGTGTTGTGCCCCTAGGTTTGGGGGTGACAAATATATAGCGGCATTTTCCCCTCAATTTAAACACACCAATTTAATTAGAGAGAGAAATAAACTAGAACTTAGTTCACAAATAGTGATAACAAAAAAATCTAAGAAGAAACATCCAGAATACTAATATGACATTAATTGTAGTGAGTTGTGTAAAATAAAAAGGATTGTTTCTTTTGAAATCACCGAGACAAATAAGTTCAAGCATCTTAAATCTATCTCAAATTTGATTTAGAACAACTGAGTACTACATTTTAATTGAATAAAAAATATACTTACTAAAGTCAACTTAAATTTATTCAAGCAAATTAAAACACAAAAAGCATATAAAAAAAATACAATCAGTATAATGAATCAGTATGCATCTTCCAACATGCTGCTCTCTTATAATTTAGAAACGCCAATGTTTGAGAGGCATCACAGCAAACTTCATGTTTCCAGTCTTGCAATGGATTCCTTTATGTTCTCCACAAGCAAAATAGTAAGTCTGCATTTTCTTCAACACAAACTCAAATCCTTCCCCTGCACCCTCACTTGGATCCGCTATTCTTTTAGCCTTTCTGAAGTCGCATTTAATAAAGCTCCAATAGTTTGGGAATAAGTAAACACTATGTGGAAATCCAGTAGCATTTGCATTTGGTGGATCATACTTGAACACTGCCACAAACAAAAGCGAATTCAATTAAAATTTAAATCATCACTATATATAGAATGATACTATTGCATGCACTATTTATTTTGTGTTAAGGGGTAATAAAACTTTAGTATTAATATACACATAATAATTTTTGCGACTACACTAGAAGTTTTCCTTGTGAAGAATAATTCACAAGTGCATGCATGCATAAAATAAAATTAAAAAAATGACCAATATATATATATATATATATATATATATATATATGCACAATGTAACTTTTTTTAGTGTAAAAGATTCAGCTGAACCCCTTCAGGTACATGCTCGAATTTATGTAAACGAAATGAAAAAGCACTAGAAGTACAAATTTGAAAGAGAGGGATATACCTAAGGTGTCGTTAACAAAGAAAGGAGTATTGTTTCGAGCCCAATCCATGTAGTTGAAGCCATAATGCCAATTTTCCGAACCTCCAACGATGAATCTATTGGAGGTGTGAGTAGCATTTGGTGGATGAGTATAAGGGAAATTGGTTTTGTTCCATGTTCTAGAGCCCCAATTGAAGTCATAATTGGCTAGACCAATGGCAAACATGGATGAGAACAATAATGCAAGTAAGGGAAATGCTTGTGCATTATAAGCAAAAGCCATTAGTATATATTATCAGCTCAATGAAAATGGCAAGTTTAATTTGCTAATGAAGAAGAGAATTAAGTTGAATTGATGGAAATGATGAGTGAATATATGGACTATATATACAGAAAAAAGTATGGTCATTTACCTTATACTAAAGTTGGTTGGTGAGACAGCAAAATTAGTGCAAAAAACTCCTTTTTGGTTTTTTCTTTATTTCACATGTGAACGGATATACACACACATAAATTTGCCGTATATTGAGCACTTGGAATTCTTAAAGTTGGAACGCAACCTAATTATTGACTCCATTTTTTCTTTTTAATTCTTAATCTGACTTGGAAGTCTTTTCCAACTGCAACTTGGAAGACCTTACAAAAGTCAAATTAACGGTGTGTTCGATATAGTTAGCCGTGTGAATGTTTATCACTTTTTAAAGGTTCCGCATAAGTGTTTAGTCTTTTGTTTTGTAGTAAGTCAGATTAAGAATTTGTTTGGGAACATTAATAATTTTCGAATGCCGATCACGTCAAGGATATAGATTTGGACGTGACATTAACACATAGAATCACTAATTTATTTGATCAAATTTTTAAAATTAGCTTAATTTAAAAAGCGTTTTTAAAAAAAAGTACATTTAATAAAAAGAAATTTGTGTTTGGATGATAAATTTAAAAGACACTTTTGACTAGTAATTAATGTTTGACCTAACTTATTATAAGTATTTTTAAGTGTTTCTTTTTCAAAAGAGTGATTACAGAGAAAAAAAATATTTTTTCAATTTCTGAAAAATAACTCTTGCTACGTACTCCCCCAAAACACTTATTTTCTCTGAAAAATTTGATCAAATACCTCACTTTTTAAAAATGGAGAAGTCATAAGTACCCCTTCAACTATAGGCGAAATCCCAGCTAGGGGTAGGCATGGTGTGGTATATACCGAATTACCATACCAAATCGAAATTTTTGATACCGTAATTTTAGTATTATGGTATTTGGTTGTATATGGTATTATTTTATTTTTTTTGGTATTCAGTACAGTATTTGATATATAGAAATAATATACCGAAATATCGAATACCATACCGAAGATATAGTTACATAAATAATATATATTTTATTAAAATACTAAAAAAATTTCAACCTAGTATTAGTATACACTAAATGTTTAGAAGTTACAACTTTGAGTACTCTATTTTGATTGAAATTAACAAAAGAAGTTGTTTGAATTTCCTTTGAATATATATTTCTACATGTGTAATGTGTTAGTATGACATAATTAGACCCTTTTTTAAATTGTCAAAGTCATAATACTCTATTAAACGAGTATATATTAATCGAAGTTAAACAAACTATGGTTATCGATTTACCATATTGTAAAATACCTAAATTGAACTTTGGAATACCGAACTATGCACAACGAATTAAATTGGTATGATAATGATATAATAGTTTAAAAAAATCGATTACCGAAATTACGCGACCAAAATTTCAAATACCGTACTATACCACACCATGTTCACCCCTAATTACAGCGTCAAATCTTAACTATACATAGGTCCTATAACCTTCTTAACACATCTTAAGACCTCTATAACCACTCGCATGATGGGAGGTGTTTAAATTTACACTCGCATCCGCATCATCTTTATGTCAGTGACATGTTAATAATCTGTCAAATCTAAATTAAAAATAAAAAAATCATGTCATTTAATTCTTTCCCCTTCATTACCATCACTAAAGCTACTATTTTCAGCATTAAAACTTGTAACAATCACCATAAAAAATTTAACCCACCACCATATTTTTCCCTTCACCACCACCACATTCAATGTCTTCTATCAATTTCATTTTTCGACCACGAAACATCAAACATAAACCATACATTTTATCACCACCTTCAAACACCACGAAATATCACTCCAATCCCTCAAAACCTCAAGCTATTCAATTCAATCTAAAGTTTAAAATGTTAGATCTCAATTGAAGTTTGTGATCCAACAAAAATAAATAAATAATAAATCTCTATTGAAGAAATTATTTAACATTGAAACTCTAATTAAAAAATAATTGAAAGTTGGGGTTTTTTTCTGATTGAATTTGAGTTAAAAAAGGCTGATTGAAGTGAAAAGGGAAGAAAAGGAGGCAGCGTATTATAACAATAGAGAACTGAAGGAGCTGAAGCAAGTGGGGGTGGCGTGGATTGTTAGAACGATGGAAAACTGGAGAACTGAAGCGGAGGGCGAAGGCGGGAGCGGGGGCAGGGGCAAGGGGTTGGATGGGGTTGGGACTTGGGGTATGATGTGGATAACTGAGTATAGGGAGTTGTAGTGAGCTGTAGTTAATTATTATTATTATTTTTTTTTTTTAAATGATCTTTAATTTAAATTGTGCTCTTTATTTATTGGTTTGAGAAACACACCTAAACTATTTCCTTGTTTTGATTATTGGGAGTTTGAGTTTTATATTTAAATTATCACTTATTAGTTTGAGAAACACACCTTAGTGGTAGAGGTGAAAAATGATTGGATTGAATCGGATTCGGATGAATTGAATATGAATTGAGCAAAAATGATTTGGATTACGATCCATCCAAATAGAATATAGGTAAATATGAATTTGGTCAAATATGATTTGGGTAAAATGGTTCTAACCCATTTAAAATGGTTCTAATCAATTAAAAAAATTCATCCCCACCGCTCGGGGCTCCCCCCACCTTCCACCAACTTACCCCTATTTTTTTTTCAAAAAAAATAAAATTTACCCCCTCCCCTCGAGCAACCCCAACCCCCGCCCCCACACCTTCCACCAACCTACCCCTAATTTTTTTTTGTTTTCCAAAAACAAATTTATTTATTTTAAAAAAAAAAAAAAAATTTACCCCCAACCCTGGGCACCCCCACTCCATTCCACCAACTGACCCCTATTTTTTTTTTTGTTTTCAAAAACAAAAAAATATGTTTTCAAAAAAAAAAAAAAATTACCCCCTCCCCTGGGCACACCCCACCCCCCAGGGCTCCCCTCTTCCACCAACCTACCCCTAATTTTTTTTTGTTTTCCAAAAACAAAAAAAAAATCTGTTTTTTCAATTAAGTTTGAAAATTAATTGAATTTTTGAAAATTAATATTAATTTTTTTATTTTTTAGCATAATTAAAAATTTTGAGTGGAGTCAAAACTAAGTGATCTATTATATGTCAATATGGATACCCATATTTTACCCATTTTGACTATATTTGTGGAGATTCTTAAAATAGCTTGAAGCCCATATTTACTCAATTAAAGTATGAGTGATCAAAGTCATTAAATATGGGCAAAATGGACTCATTTCATTAATATAAGTTGAAATTGCCACCCCTACTCAGTGGTGTGTGTAATACGTTTTCTCTTTTATTTCCAAAAACCTTGCCACATGACATTCCATATGGATAAAATATCCACCTTGACAAAAATTAAATAAACTATTAATTAGTTAAAAACTAAAGACTAAAGTATTACTATACCAAAAAATAATAATTTAAAGTTTATTTTTTTAAAAAAAAAACTAAAATATCTCACCTCACTCCACCATCTCCTACCCCCTAGACAATTCCCATGTTCTTTTATTTTTTAAAATTCTTTTGTACCTGAAATTATTATTTTTTAAAATAAAATAAAATTCTATCCCATCCTATCTACCCTCCGCTCCTAATTTATTTTTATTTTTTTAGATTTTTTCATTTTGTTTTAGATGTGTATATATATTTTTAGAAAAATATTTTTTTTATTTACTTTCCAATATAACAAAAACAAAAAATTTATTTTTAAAAAATGTCTTGCGGCAAGTAAAAAATTATTTTCTAAAAAATATATATCTAATACAAAACGAGAAAAAAAATTGAAAGCGGAGGGTTATGTGGGGTGATGTAGAATTTTTTAAAAATAAAATAATATTTAAATTATTATTTGAAGGGATGTGGGAGGGGGGGGGGGGTTGGGGGGGAGATGAAGTAAGAATTTTTTTTAAAATTTTAAAAAATTGGGGTGGGGGAAGTACAGTGAGAGGAAGTGATGAAGTATGGTAAGAAAATATTTTACATTTTATTTTATATTTTTTTTGGGATGAAATAGTAATACTTTAATCTTCAACTTCAACTAATACTAATAATTTATTTAATTTTTGTCAAGGTGAAATGTTTTATCCATGTGGAGTGTGATGTGACATTTTTTCATAAATAAAAGAGAGAGTGTATTAAAACAACATGATGAGAGTGTATACATAATAAAAGATAGATGTGTGTTTCTCAAACTAATAAATGATAATTTATGGTGTATTTTGGTATGTTTCTCAAACTAATAAGTGATAATTTAGGGTGTATTTCTCATGTTTGGATGGGTAAAATGTTTTCCAAATCAACTCATTTTCCTCAAATTTAAGGAAAATGACTTCCTTTAAAAAATTAAGGAAAACATTTTCCAAAACTTTCCTCCAACTTCAAATTATAATTCTTTTTTGTTGAAAAAATAAATTTAAAGTTTATTTTAAAAAAAATATTTTCAATTTTTTATGTTTTACCCCACCCTACCCCCGAAGCCCCCTAAGCCCCCCCCCCACCCCCCAATTTTTTTTAAAATAAATTATAGTTTGTTTTTAAAAAATTATTTCAATTTTTTATTTTTTGACCCCGCCCCACCCCACCCCACCCCTACCCTCGACCCCCCATAAGTCCCATACCAGGCTCCATTCCCACCAAAAAATAATAATTTAAGTTTGTTTTTACAAAATATTTTCAACTTCAATATTTTATTTGTTTACCCTACCCTCACCCCTACGCCCCACCCCAAAAAAATAAGTTTAAAGTTTAAAGTTTGTTTTTAAAAAATATTTTCAATTTTCAATTTTTGTTTTTCACCCCACCCCCACTCCCCCTCCCCCCCCCCCCCCAAAAAAAAAAAATAATCTAAAGTTTGCTTTTAAAATATATTGGGAAAATGCATAAGTACCCCCCAGCCTATGCCCGAAATCCCAGAGACACACCTAACCTTTACTAAGGTCCTATTACCCCCCCCCCCCCCCCCCCGAACTTAATTTATCTATAATATTCTACCCCTTTT